GCTCTATAGAGAAGCTTTGGCTCTTGTGAGCGGGTCAGTACTGAGGTTAATGGATGTTTTAGGGGACAGACACACTCGTGACCCGCTACTTCACCGTCAGGCGTCACACAATCACACCTTTATAACGCATGTGAGACATCAGACCCGCTCTAGATGGGTTCACTAAACTAGAGTTATATGACCAAAGCCCAGTCACACGGCTGAACTACACACGGATGATGAGTCACAGCGGCACACTCTTCATGTGTCCTGTTTTCCTATAGACCTGAACAATGTGGAGAATCTTAAAAGAGAAGAAAATCATACAGAATGTAGATTAAATAAATAAATGAGATATATTTTAAAATCCTTGATTGAATAGATTTAATGTATTATATATATTTATATATTTATATAAATATATGTATATATTTTTTATTTGTTTATTACGCTACATTCTTTATAAACTGACAAAAGTATTGCAATTTGCAAATGTACTCCAATAATCATTTACATTTTTTTTATTGAAAAGAGATTTATTTTTAGTTGAGATTTATCTATTTATTATTTATTATTTTAATTTGTTTTATTTTATTTCAATTAATCAGGATGCCACAATTTGAATGGAATTATAAATTCTGCAAATTTTTCCTGAAGTGATCCATCGTATCCAAGTACATTTCAATATAACTAAAAAAAAAATAACTTACTCATAATAGTAATTAATCAAAATCATAATTTTTATTTTATTAATTTATAAGGAAGGACATTTTAACCTTAATTAATTTACTAAAATGTATATGGGTAATTATGAATTTCTGTAAAAATGTCTTGAAAACTAAATATTTCTTTCAGATTTATTGCTATTTTAATTTCAATAATTTTTCAACATTTTTTTTAATTCATAATTTATTTGTATCATAATTTTTGTTAAATACTGTATTTTTTTAAATTCATAATTTATTTGTATCGTAATTTTTGTTAAATACAGTATTTACTTTGTTTAAATGTTTCACTGTTCACGTCACGCTTCACAATCCTGAAAAGTGACTTAAATACATTTAAAATAATATTACAAACTATTATCTACCCTTATTTCCTACATAATTGTCCCTTGTCTGAATGTAATACTTTCCTAATACATTCACTCGTTTGTCCGAGAGCTACTATAAAAACATGATGATATTGAGATTTTAGGTTAGTTTTGTGTGTCAGCAAGAGAAAACAAGCATTTGTGAAATTGTGTTTTTCACCAAATTTGACTAGAACAAACATTACTAGAGGGATAAATGACTAAACATACTGTATTCTTGAGTAAGAATGTGAAGTGAATTGATGATGATTGATTTACAACAGAATGATTTTTAAAACAGAAGTGAATCAATCAAAAACTTACTAATGTAAAGCCAAAACAATCTCTGTTCCATTAATCTCGTATTATCACTGTAAAGCTGCTTTGAAACAATCTATATTGTTAAAAGCCCTATATAAATGAAGATGACTTGACTAAATTAGGGCTGTGCAACGATTAATCGCATCCAAAATAAAAGTTTGTGTTTACATAATATATGTATATATAAATACACACATATGCATGCATATATTTAAGAAATATTTGCATGTATATATATATTTATATTATACCCAATTATAAATATTTTATGTATAAATAAATAAAAAATCCTAAATATATACATGCAAAATAATTATACACAGCACACACACACACACACATAATATCAACACAAACTTGTATTTTCGATGCTATTAATTGACTTGACTTTACCTTCCAGGAGGAGAACACCGAGGACGGGCTGATCAGGTTTGGGGTGAGAGGACTGCGCGCCCCCATCAGCTCGTCCACACACACCTGACAGTCCTGCGCGTCACGCCAGTCCCAGTACGGGATGGTGAAGTTAAAGTCCCCGGTCAGCTTGCGGATCTCGTGCTCCCAGAACAGCAGGTAGACCCGGTGCCAGGGCAGGAACGCGGCAGATTCGTGCGCGAAGTCAATATCAGCCCACACGTTCCCGGGACCCCCGAGCAGCGTGTCATGGGACACGTAATAATGCATCCACACGAACAAATCGTACACGTTGATGTCTGCAAACATGGGGGTCGAGCCGTTGTTCATCTGCGCGTACGTGCCCGTCGCGATCATATAATCAGGGCTGATGGTGTTCTTCGCCAGATTTAGGTACGAGATGAACCTCTGCCTTTCGGTCACGGACAACTGGAAGATGTTCCTGCGGACTGACTCCCGTCTCTCCGCGCAATTCCCACCGAAGAAGCCGAACTTGCACTCGCCGCAGTCGAAGCCCATGTAGTTGCCGGCGCACCGGCAGGTCTGGTTGTAGAACACCAGAGGCCAGCGTTCACGGTCGTCCACGTCCGAATGAGGGAACTGAGGCCCGTTGGGGAGATCGGACACGGTGACGTCCTGGCAGAAGCCTCGACCCGAAAGGGATCCGCACACCGAACCATCGCCCGGCCAAACCGGACAGCAACGCTTGCTCTGCAGGACGTCCCGTGAAGTGCAAGGCCGAGGAAACTGCTGGAGAGACCGACTGAAGAACTGAAGGAAGAAGAACACGAGCAGAGAGGAAGACATGGTGAGCTTCATAAAGAGAGTGAGACGCATTAGACACGGAGATCTTCATCCAGCTCTCTTTCTCTTTACACACTCCCTCCTTCACACACACACACACACACTTACAACCCCCGTATCACATGCTAGGGATAAAACCGCTGACCCCCGCTCGCGTTTAGTCTCGGGATTGAGGAATGCTTGTGCTCGAGTCGAGCGTGAGATCATTTCATTGACAGTTCGGGGAGGATCTCCTTTCATGAAAGATCATCCATTTTAATTCGATTACCAGCCGAAATGAGCAAAGTCAACACAGTTAATAAGGTTTTGCCTTTGTGTTTACGCCAACAACCTGTCGGTGTGTAATTGAGTAGGAAATCACCGCTTATGCTCGTTTTATGCATTATAACCATCACGTGTTATAGCGAGTTTAAATGCGTATTTGACTTTGCTTATGTAATTGTCATTCAAAAGTTTGGGGTCAGTAAGATTTTGAGTCTCTTCTGCTCACCATGGCTTCATTTATCTGATCAAAAATACAGTAAAAACAGTGAAATATGATTATAGTTTAAAATAACGGTGAATATATGTTTAATGTAATTTATTCCTGTGATCAAAGCTGATTTTCAGCATCATTACTCCAGTCTTCAGTGTCACATGATCCTTCAGAAATCACTCTAATATGATGATTTAATGCTAAAAAAAAAGTTGTAAATATTATCAATGTTGACAACAGTTGTGATGATCATATTTTTGTGGAAAACGTGATGCTTTCGTTTTCAGGATCGGTGCATGGACAGTTCAAACGAACAGCATTTATTTGAAATTGAAATTATAAATGTCTTTACTGACACTTTTGATCAATTTAATGCATCCTTGCTTTAAAAAAAAAGTCTTTTCTTTAAAAGCAGTTTATTGGTTGCAAAAGCACTGAATTTTTTTTTTTCTTCATTTATTTCCATTTTAATTTATTCATATTTGCTCATGGCCACATCCATATTTAGTTCTTTATGCAAAAGCACATTTATTTAATGGTAATTCAGTGGTATATGGAATGATTACCATATTAATGTAGCATGGTCTTTGTTTGTTGGTTTGACTTTTTATTTTTTATTTTAAGCGGCTTACAAATTTGAATTCAATTTAATTTTATATTGCGCTTCTGAAAAAACATATTGTTCCAAAGCAGTTTTACAGAAGAAAACCCCTCTTTCAGTTATTTGTATAAATGTGTATAAGGACACCATGCACATGTCCAAAATCTGTCGTCTTGCTGTTATTATACAAACTATACTTTTGAAGCCCTTTTTGTTTTCTCTTCCCTCTCTTATGTTTTCAGGCTTATATGTGTGTCATATGTTTTATCATGTGCCGTTCGGGGAAGCTGCGCATATAGTGCTCTTAGCTTTCTCAAATCATAAGCCCGTCACATGTTGGCGTATTGGGCACGAGGTCCAGATAATCCAGCGCGCAAAAGAGGAATGAGCGTCACAGGATTACTGCACCCTCGGGCTCTCTCTCTCTCTCTCTCTCTCTCTCTCTCTCTCTCTCTCTCTCTCTCTCTCTCTCTCTCTCTACAGTCTGGGTTTATCACACACAATCATATGGTTTGTGCATTTCATCCATAATGCAAAGAGTGGCCCATAAAAGTGTTTAGCCACTTAAAAATGTCTGAATGCAATTGTATTTGATGAGAAGTTATCCACACTGGCATTCATTTTAAAGGTGCAATGTGTAATAATTTTGAGTATCTATTAACAGAAATGCAATATGACATCCATAACTATGTTTTCAGAGGTGTATAAAGAACTTACTTAATAAACCCTAATGTTTTTATTACCTTAGAATGAGACATTTATATCTGCATAACCGCGGGCACCCCCTTCTATGAAGGTCGACATATTGTGACGTCATGTTTCTACAGTAGCCGAACGCGAACAAACAACGCTACATACCGCGTTTCGTCACTACCTTGAAAGAGAAGCCGCAGAAAGCTAGAAGCTAGCCATAAACACTGTGAGTAGTGACTTTTCCCTTGTCAGTGGTGTAAAATATGTAGTTGGATTGTTTCATGTAACTTAGTTCTTCTCCCTCGCTGTGTTATGGCTTTGCTATGTGGGGATAAATGTGCTGGTTAAGTTCGTGAGACAGCTGATTAGTACTCTTGTCATTGACCGTAAAACAGTAACGTTACAGGAATCACCAACCCTTCGATCGCGGTCGACAAGTCGATCTTTGAAGCATTTTAAGTCGATCGCGAAGAGTTTTCAAAATCAGAGAAAAAAGCCTATTGTGTGTAGTAAATGGTGTCTAGGGGATGCGGAGGCGCGCGCGCTGTTACAATCATGTCATTTTTGCCGCGCACACCTTTGGGCTCATATCATGGGGACGCGTCGAGTTTAAACAAGGCTTTACGCTTTAACCAGCTCAGCCACAGTATCAGCTCATATTTAGCCAGCTAAACTTTTACTACCCTGTTAGAAAACATATATAGTTGCATAGTTTCATGTGGTTCTTCTCCCTCGCTGTATTATGGGTTTGCTCTGTGGGGAGAAATGTGCTGGTTACGTTTATGAGACAATCAGCTGATTACTATTATTATATTATGTATTAAGACCCTTGATCCTCACCTGACTATGGCTTTGTAAACTTTATCCATGATGTGGTTTATAATGGACTGTGGTACAGAAACAGTGACAATGTTACACACTCTTGGCTTACTCTGGCTATTCTCTGCTGTCTCCAGACGACAATATGTTTGTCCCGTTTTAGCCACCGTAGCTTCTTCGAAAGGGAGGGGTGAGCAGTGGACTGAGCCCTTAGTGCAAACTCGCAACCGAATCGCTAGATGCCGCTAAAAGTCACACACTGCACCTTTAAAGAAAGCGTTTTGAGAAAAATATAATATGATTGTTAAAACATTGTATTTAGACACTGTGGTTGTGAAATTAAATTGAGTAGTTAGTTATGATGACACTTGGTTTGATATTTTGTCTCGAATACATGGATATTCAAGTCAATTAAGTGTAAACACCTTTTAAAGCCACTTTAATGCATCTCATTAAAGGCCCGTTCACAGCGATGCTGATAACTATAATGATAACGATATAGATATAGTTCCCAAAATCGTCCTCAATATAAAAGAATAGCAGAGTTCACATTGCAGCTATAAACGATAACAGCACAGAGAAACAATATTGTTGAAATCATTTTTTAGAACGATGTTTTTTTTCCAGCTGATGAACAATAAAACGTCGACAGCCAATCAGAATCCATCCTGCTTTAAAGGGATAGTTCACCCAAAAATAAAAAATGTTACGCGGCACATTTGAGCTTCTGTTTATGTTCGCTGATCAATGTTAATTTGTGAATAAAAGCCTAAATTAAATCCGTTAATCATATAATGCGATCGAGTCTCTTCAGAAAATTTGGACTAAATCACTCAATTCATATGAATTACGATCTCTTTATGAACTTTTCGAAGCCTCAAAGTGTCAGTTTTAGCTGTCAATGGAGGAACAGAAATCTCTCAGATTTCATCAAAAAGATCTTCATTTGTGTCCTGAAGATGAAGGAAAGTCTTACGGGTTGGGAACGACATGAGGCCGAGTAGTTAATGACCGAATTTTCATTTTTTGGGGTGAACTATCCCTTTAAAGAGCGTGCATGAGCATTTAAAGCGTCAGACAAAAAAACTGCATCATGCTTGAATTAAACAGAACAATATTATCCGCCGGTGTGACGCTAATATAGTTATCTTTATAGCGATCGTTCTTGTTATGATTCACAAGAACATTGCTCTATATTGATTGAAATTTAGATGTTATTAGAGGATGAAACCACTGTTCGCCTGCATCATTTAGCCTATATTCACACAAACTCTTTTCAGATTCCATGAAGGTCGTTTTTATGGAAAGTTTTGGTGCATCTTAGCATGATAAGAACGACCAGATATATTTGACTAGTCTAGTTTAAAGGTGCTCTATGTAGCTTTTCTTCTAATGAATCCTTTGTTTATTGCCTGTGTGTGAAGGGGTTGTAATCACACATTACAATGATCCACTTGTCGAGTTTTGCTATTACCTCTGAAGGCCAGTATTCCTATTTCTATGTGAAGTCTCCGGGTCGGATTTACCGCGAAATCCAATGGATTTGACGTGCATGCGCGCTCCCGAGCCTCTCTCCTGTTTATATACAGTCTATGCGACGGCACTGCAGCGAACGACATGGGAGTCTGATAACACCCAAACACGACCTGCCTCCAGCATAACACACACTCCACAAATATATAAAAAACAAAAAAAAAGTTTTATCTGCTGAAGCTCGTCAGGCCAAACGTGATTCTGATCGACTCAGGACGAAAACACGGATCAACATCGGCAGAGCTTTTGAATTATTAGTAAACTCTAATGAAATAGCAAGGTAAACTAAATGACACATGAAATGAATACAAAAGACTGTTCCAGGATAAGAAAAAGTGGGTGCTTTAGGATGTATACTTGTTTTATGTACTAGATCTACTGTCTAACTCCACTCATCCCACTACTATCATATTGTTTATAATACACATTTCCAGACACGTTCAGTACAGTAATGTTACTTCCTACGATCTTACTGTTACACTGACATTGTTCAGTCTAGTTCACCGTTTTCGTTATCATATTACACATTCACCTATGTTGACATTGCTGACTGTGAAAGATACACGAATAGTTAGTGAAATGCCTTATTCTAGACAACACCACAAATGTAACGTTATCATGGTACGAGCATGGAGCATTAGTTCAACGTCAAGCTGATAAAAGTAGCCTATTATTGTAACGTTGCAGTGGGAGTTTACATGAGTTTCCAGCATGTTGTGTGATGCTTTCGCCGTTGCGTTGAATGTCTCCGTGTGGCCGGTAGTGAATGCTCGCTCCTGAGATCGCACACGCACACGAGCACGAGCGCTCTTGTTGCAATCTGAAACATCACCACTAGAGGCCGCTAAAAAATACATAGAGCACCTTTAAATATAACATCAATATTGGCCCGCCATCTGACTGAAATACTTCACAAGCATTGCATTTGACTTTAGTACCAAAAGTGGTCTACAGAGGGCAG